CCCTTTTTTTGCTTCAGTAATAAATGGAAACTTCTAGTGAATGCTTTAGAGCATGCTTGGCTACGTCACAAATAAAGGATACAGATCATACAATTTTCTGAATCATATAACAGATATTTTTCTTGATATGACCAACCACATGAACCAATAAGAAAACGATTTGCCTGCAGGACAGTCAAACAGTTTATCAAAGCACGCCATCAGAACATAGGATCTATTACCTCTGTAAGGTTGACCCATTCCCATGTCTCATTTGTAGTACCAATGTCATAAACAAGAGCATGTCTACCCTGAAAAAGCGCATCACAAGATTCACTCATTCAACCACAAAAAGGAAAAAAAGAAGCAAAGCTTTGAGCAATAAAATCAGGTGTACCTCAGCTTTGTTATAGTCAGTAATGACTGCCTCATAAAAATTATTGTCATCAGGCCATCTAGTCCTCACTTTCCTTCCAATCAATGGATCAAATGATCCTGCTTCAGCAGGTTCAGAGACCCGATTACCTAGTTGGCCTCTTCCAAATGGACCAGAGGAAGGGTACTGCATTTTCATTGAAGATGCACCAGGCATCATCTGGCCCTATGAATAGATGCATAGCAGGAAAATACTCAGAACAAGAGAATAGTTAAACCATGCATTGCTCAACTGCACAGAATAAAGCATAAAGCATCAGACTTACAGATTTACTCTTTTTGCCCTTAGGCCCCATCATAGGCCCTCTCTTGGCAGCGGATGAAGACGGCTGACTTGCAGCAGCCAGAGCAGGTGGGTGAAAAGTAGGAGATGGTCCAGCAAAGGACTGTGACGGTAAAGATGGCACTATCTTCTGTTTCTTCCGTGAAGCTGAGACAGAAGGACTAGGTAATGGGTCGTGAATAGCTTGAGCGGTGCCAAGCATACCTGGTTGATGGGCCCCCGACTGCCTCCACTCCCTATAAAAGCGATAATCAAAGGCTAGCCTTTAGAACTGTGACAAACCCTAGAATACAGAAAATTCACTAAACAAACTCGAGATGGACGTAGGGACCAGGAGTTAACGATAGAGCTAACCTTATTCTTCGGATGACATCATCAGCATTAACTCTACCAAGAAGTTCTCGATGTTCTTCATTGGACCATCCTAACTCTTTTCTTAACTCCGTTATCAAACTTTCTTTCTCCTGAATAAAATATATTCATTGAGCAGTCATTTAAACCTGATCAAACAAATGAACATATTAGATTTCATGAGTATGACAAAGGGTACCCAAGTAATGGCATCAGCTTGAGCTTTAAAGGCTCTTAGAACCGAACTGTATGCTTCTTGCTCGAGCTGGTGAATTTGGGCCTCCATGTCAGTTTCACCATACATCCTTTGGTAGGGTACAGATGCCATGACAGCAGATCTCCCATTTCCATTCATGCGGCCACCACCTCTTGGAATCCTATTTTGATGTGATGGAGGAAGATCATCATCCGTTCCTGCAATCATTCCAACAGGTTGTCAGAAAATCGCAACACTAGGTGTAATCATAATACAACACAACATATGAAAATTATCCATATCACCACTGTGTGATTAATAAAGGCATATGAGCATATAAGGAAAACTACACTGCACGAACAGTCACTTCAAGGTAAGGACCAAGGAGCAGTGTGGATTTCAATCCAACAAAAGAAGTTCTCAATATACCATTTTCAGTATAAAATTAAAAGATAAACTACAGCAGGAGGAACAATTTTAAGCGTTCCAAAATGTTATTTAAACTTTTATTCAGTATCAAGATCTTAAGGCAGAACTACAAGCATTTGAAGACTGTCACAAAGCTGCACATAAAACAACAATTCAACTATACCAACTCCACTTTACACTTTGCTTTTCTATAACAACTAAAACACTTTTTGCAGGCAAGATTTCATTATTTCATAATAAACCCAATAATTCTCACAATAATTTTAGTTTAAACTTCTCACTGCAAAATTAAACACATAGTAACAACACCCAGAATAATATAAACCATAATTCTAAAGAAAAAATCAAAAAAGATTAAATTTTTGCCTCAAACTAAACATACCCAGTACCTCAATTGCCCACATACAAAGAGCAAACAGCTCAAAATTCCAAGCTAACAAAAATAGGAGATAAAAAGATCCCAACTTTCACAATGCACACGCTAATTTCACTAGCCATGAACCCTAATTGAACTACAAAATCCACAAAACTAAGGAAAAAAATGAAATCTTGAAAACACTAACCACTGCTGTCGTACGGCTCGTAGTCCATAGCCAGTTTGCAAACTTAACCTAACCCCCAGATGAGAAAAGAAACCAAATCAAGACTTCAGAGGGTGCTTTTTAAAAACCAAATAAGGACAATAATATTGAAGCCTCAAAGAACTAGGTATTTAGAAAATTAAGTAAAAACCAAAAAGGCAATTGGGTTTGTGAGGGAACTCTTTTTAGAAAACAAGGAAATCGATTGCGTGATTATGAAAGAATTGAAGGCAAAATGGAGAAGGAGAACCCAGCAAAGGGGGGGCGAAACGGACGTGAATTAGGTCTATAGATTTTGGTTTATTGGAAGGTTTGAGTTCCGCTTCCTGGGTTGAGTTGACTCGCTCTGGTTTGTCTTAACTCGGCCGTGTCGCGGACAGACACAAGGGATTGGGAATTTTTGTTTGAAATTTCAAAGCATTTTGACCTATTTAAATTTGACTTTAAAATAACTTGAGTTAAAGTCGTTGTTCCACTTGAACGAACAAAGTATAACATGTTCTGTGAAAATTGAGATGTCGTTTAGTTAAAAAAGAATCATTAGTAAATATTTCGAGTTTAACTTATAGGCATTTTTAATGTAAAGAAAATTTTTAACTATTAAATTATCGTTATATGATAGAGAAGATAACTTTATTATGAAAAGCTACTTTAAAATATCTTTCGGGTGAGCTAATAGCATACAAATTTATTTTCAATATTTATGTATATAAACTAAGTTCGTATAATATTTTTCTGCTTCTATATTTATTTGTGTGGTTTCCTTATGTTGATCAAAGTAGTTGCGTGTATGAAGATAAAAAATTTAAATATGAATATATCAAATTGAAAAAAAAATCATATAGGTATGAAAGTATAGACGATCTTATTAGTAAATTAATAATTAGATCGGATAGTTTAATTAGATCAGGTATTGTTCTTCTTCTGTTTTATGTGGATGACATTGCTTTCTCTAGTAATGACTTAGCTTCGACAAATGAGCTTAAGAGAAGAATAAGAACTCAGTTTGATATGAAAGATTTAGGAGACTCAAAGTCTCTTCTGGAGATTAAAGTGATGAGGTCGCAAAGAGTTTTGGAATCCAGTGCAAGTATTCATTAGATTTATTGTCAAAACTTAGTCTTTCTGCATGCAAATCGGAATAAGATCTAAAATTAGCCTCAGATGCAGGAGAGTTATTGGATGACTCATCTACTTGCAAGGAGGCTTATTGGGACTCTTTTCTATCTCACTAATTATCGTCCAGACATTTCTTACACTTACAACATAGGATGGAGTGATCAGCCGATTTTTAGATCGACAAGTCGAGATCATCTCAATTAGAAACTGCTTTTCGGATTCTGCGATACATCAAAACCTCACCGTAAAGAGGTTGGTTCTTGTCTATATCATCATTTCTTTAACTGTCTTGTTACTATTATACTGAATTACTGATTTCATTAAGGCAGTAGATTATTCTGATTGGATTTCGACCATCTTCCATATACCCAAGAGGGATTGGCGATTAACACATATGAACGAAGAAACAACAAAACATACATGTTAGACCCACGAAATGTCAGATTCTAGGCTATCACTAATATTTTTCAACACTCTCATGAATGCCCATACTTAAGGGTGCTCACGAAAACTGAAAAATCAAACCAAATTGATAAAAAAAATCGATAATATTTTGGTTTGATTTGATTTTGTATTTTGAAGTTTGAAAACTACAAATTTGATTTGATTTTGGTTTAAGCAAAAAGAAAAAAAAAGATCGTACCAAACCGACTATAAATTGCCAATTCAAAACTATATNGTTTGTAGGTTAGTTCTTTGTATGTATAATAATCTAGTTCTTTGCCTTTGCATTCTAGTTTGATTGGTAGTCTTTATTTTGCTAAAACCAAAAATCTACTTCATGTTAAAAATAAGTCCTTAAATATTCATCACTATTTAATTCAATTATCATCAAGATATCTTAGTAAATAACATATTATCTCAAAGAATAATTGGTTTGGTTCTTATATTGAAATATAATTGTCGGAATATGTACTAGACCGTCTAAGTCTCATACTTAAGAAAGTAACCGACAAAAAATTAAATAAACCGAAAATACCGAGAAAAAATTGAACACAATAAAAAATCAATTTAATTGATTTGATTTGGTTTAGATATATATTTAAAAAGCGACTTAATTTGTTTGATTTCTTTTTTAGGAAAAACTAACCCAAAGTTAACCATGAACATCCGTTGCCATACTTATCGGAACACAAACATCAATAAAAATTTAAAATATTTATTTTTTCACGAGAGAATACAATTCTTGTAATTGAAGTATTGAATTCTTACGGGCATTGTCACGACCCAATTTCCCACTATAGGTCGCGATGGCGCCCAACGTCGTCGTTAGGCAAGCCAACAGTGAACTATCAATTCAATTATTCATTTTATTATTTTTAAAATCATAAGTCTTATTAAATAATGAATTTAATGTGTTTAAAAATCATGAATACTTAAGATATTAGTAAGATATAAAATAAAAGATGACAATATCAAGCCGAACCATAAACAACTGTCACGACCCAATTTTCCACTATAGGTCGTGATGGCACCCAACGTCACCGTTAGGCAAACCAACGGTGAACTATCAATTCAACTATTTATTTTATTATTTTTAAAATCATAAGTCTTATTAAGTAAAGGATTCAATGCGTTTAAAAATTCATGAATACTTAAAATATTAGTAAAATACAAAATAAAAGAAGACAATATCAAGCCGGACCATAAACAACCACTTGTATCCCAAAATCCGGTGTCACAAGTGCATGAGCATCTACTGAGGAGTACAATAATAATACAACATCTGTCTGGAATGTAAATAAGACATGATGGAGTAAATAGTACGATGGAGACTCTGTGGGCTGTGATACGTAGCCTGGAATGCAGCTCACCATAAAATCTCCACAGTAGTTGCGCCTACGCGCTAAGATGACCACCAATTGAACTTGTCAAATCCTGCATATTTAGTGCAGAAGTGTAACATGAGTACGTAAATCAACGCATACCCAATGAGTATCTAGCCTAACCCTAGAGAAGTAGTGACGAGGGGTCGACATCGACACTTACTAGAGGTCCAATAAAGCAATATGATAGATCATAAGCAGATATGAAGCACAACAGTAATAATGGGGTAAAACTGTAAGTTATATAATCTTCCAAAAATTCTTTTAAAGGTATAAATTCCTCAGTCTCGTACTCTATCTCAACAGCTCAGATGTATCAAGTGCCAGTATCAAACGGATAAAGAATACTATATAAAATTCCAAGCATCAGTGGAAGGATTATCTCGTGAATATTCGGACTGTTAGCGATATAACGCATGATTATGTTGAGATCGTACGGCCCAATCCAGAATAATATGTAGATTGCCGAGGGTCGACTGGCACAAACCATAGATGCATCTATTATACTGCCGAGGCATTCGGTCCGCTCCACAAGAAAAGAAGGAACTTATCGAATTAAATAATGGATTTAATGCGTTTAAAAATCATGAATACTTAAGATATTAGTAAGATATAAAATAAAAGATGACAATATCAAGCCGAACCATAAACAACTCTCACGACCCAATTTCCCACTATAGGTCGTGATGGCACCCAACGTCGCCGTTAGGCAAGCCAACGGTGAACTATCAATTCAACTATTTATTTTATTATTTTTAAAATCATAAGTCTTATTAAGTAAAGGATTCAATGCGTTTAAAAATTCATGAATACTTAAAATATTAGTAAAATACAAAATAAAAGAAGACAATATCAAGCCGGACCATAAACAACCACTTGTATCCCAAAATCCGGTGTCACAAGTGCATGAGCATCTACTGAGGAGTACAATAATAATACAACATCTGTCTGGAATGTAAATAAGACATGATGGAGTAAATAGTACGATGGAGACTCTGTGGGCTGTGATACGTAGCCTGGAATGCAGCTCACCATAAAATCTCCACAGTAGTTGCGCCTACGCGCTAAGATGACCACCAATTGAACCTGTCAAATCCTGCACATTTAATGCAGAAGTGTAACATGAGTACGTAAATCAACGCATACCCAATGAGTATCTAGCCTAACCCTAGAGAAGTAGTGACGAGGGGTCGATATCGACACTTACTAGAGGTCCAATAAAGCAATATGATAGATCATAAGCAGATATGAAGCACAACAGTAATAATGGGGTAAAACTGTAAGTTATATAATCTTCCAAAAATTCTTTTAAAGGTATAAATTCCTCAGTCTCGTACTCTATCTCAACAGCTCAGATGTATCAAGTGCCAGTATCAAACGGATAAGGAATACCATATAAAATTCCAAGTATCAGTGGAAGGATTATCTCGTGAATATTCGGACTGTTAGCGATATAACGCATGATTATGTTGAGATCGTACGGCCCGATCCAGAATAATATGTAGATTGCCGAGGGTCGACTGGCACAAACCATAGATGCATCTATTATACTGCCGAGGCGTTCGGTCCGCTCCACAAGAAAAGAAGGAACTTATCGAATTACGAGGCACGTACTTACAATACAGGTACAGGAGCATAAAATGAATATAATCTTTACCGTTTCTCAAATAATTGGCCAACAACTCAAGGTGATATATATATATATATATATATATATATATATATATATATATGCATTTCTAAATCAATTTCAATTATAAATTCAATTATTTAAGCTAGCAAATAGAGTTCAAATAATTCAATAATTACATGATAGAATTTTGAGTCTACCCGGACATAAACATACATTAGCTACGTACGGACTCTCATCACCTCGTTCATACATAGCACCCACAACTAATAGCACATAACAATTACATAACCTAGGGGTAGTTTTCCTCTCACAAGGTTAGATAGGAGACTTACCTCGCTCCAAAATTTCATAACCGGCTCCAACGCCTCTCTAACACCTCAAATCAATGCCCATCGACCCGAAACTAGTCAAACAAGGTACAAATCAATCAAAATATGCTTCAATGCGTATAATTTAACAATTTATAATAATTCTCAACTCCGCTTGAAAAGTCAACAAAGTCAACCCTTGGGCTCACGTGCCTAGATTCCAAAATTTCTTGAAGATAATCACTACCCATAGCACCACAAACTCGGATATATAGTTTATTCCTAATTCCATGTCCAATTTCGTGGTCAAAATCAAAAAATATAAAATTCTAGGTTTTCCTCCAAATTCCATAGTTTTCTACAAATTTCATGTTTAAATCTATATATAAACCATGTATTTAACTCACAATGTATAGAAATCTCTTACCTTAAGATTGATGAAGAAAATGGCTCCTCCAAATCGCCCCAAAAATTGCCCAAGCAAGAGAGGAATGAGTGAA